GATTTTCCTTTGATTTAAATGTTCAAGAAAAGTTATTTGTTCTCTGAGAATGTTTCAATTTTTATGTTCGTGAAAAGTTTATAAAATTCGTAAAGAAAGAAAATTATTTTACTACCTACCTGTTCAAGAGTTGCGCATAAGAGATATTTTAACAAATCTGAATCTGAATCAGTCAACAAATTAAATTTTTCATTCAAAGAAGCATATGTAGGGTAAACATAAGTAAGATAAGTATAAATAATAAATTAAATATTATTCTCTGAATATAATAATAAATAAATGTTTTTTTCTTTAGCTGAATCATCGAAGTAAATATTCTATTATAAATTGACTTTTCGGATTACAATATTAATTTGATTTTTCAAAATACGCTTTCAAATTGACTCTTTGGAATACGCTATTAAATTGACTTTTCGGAGTACACTTTTAAATTGACTCTTCTGACTACACATTTGTTAGTTGACTCTGTGGAGTACATATTTTTTAATTAACTCTTCGGAAAGAAGAGAAGAGAAACATTTTATATTTTATTTAAAAAATCTTAATTTTTGCAGAAAACTGATTGATGAAGAAAATAATTAATTCACGACCTCAACGAAGATCTTAAAAAAATACTGCAAGAAATGAAGTTGTTGTTATTATATGCCATATTGTACAATATTAAAACATACGCGCAATAATTATCTATAATTTGCATATATGGGCGTTTATGTAATTATAAGTAATATAAAAGTCATGACAAATTAATGTGGCCTCGCGTTGTTTCTGTCGCGTCATTGCTAGAAATCGTCCGAACTTTCGAAATTATTTTCTTCCCGAATTATGAATATAAAACAATGTAGAAAGGAAAACAAGGGGGTGAAAGAGGGGATGGCAGCGATGTCTGCCTTACGATAACATCGCTGCTAGCTCGCTTCGTCGCGATTGTCTATTCGCTGGTGGTGAGACGAAGACCGATTCTTCGTTTTTATCAAACTAATCTAGCTCGCTCGTGAACATAGCACAGAACAGAACCAAATAATTATGGACATAACACGGAATAGTACCGACAAATCGTAGACATTGGCTTAGTAGTTCATGTCCATGAAAAATGGACCCAGTTGGCGCTGCGAATCAGCCAAATTTTCCATAACGCTGCAAATGCAGCCATGCCCGCTTTCAGGCTTCTCTTTGATACGGCTAGGCGCATTTTAAATGCGCCATCTGACAAAATGCGCCTAAACTACGTCCGCTAGGCGCACTTTCGCGGTGGTAAAAGTAAAATGCGTCTAGGTTCGCGTCCGTACTACTTCCATGCAATGGATAGTAGATTAGAAAAAGACAGACGACAGACAATCGTCCCGTCTTTGTCTCACTACTGAGCGGCGCGCGGCAGTAAACACGAGGCGAGGTAGCGGCGATCTTATCGCTAAGCGAACATCTCTCCGCTTTTCTTTCATCTTTCACGCTCCAGAGACATCAAAAGACGCGGTAACGTCTCGTGTCAAGGGAACGTGCGAAGCGAGGAATTATTTTTCACGCACGCGAGGTAGCACATGGGAGACTAGACGAGCGTCGACATATTATCTGTTTCTTTCCCGCTCGTCTAGCTTATTGACTGCGTGAGCCGCGAGATTTTTCTCGCTACTCCTATACCTCGCTCTTTCTCTCTCTCTCTCTCTCTCTCTCTCGCTCGTTCTTTCTCTCTCTCGCGCACTTGCTCGCTCTTCCTCTCTTCTCGTGTTCTTACGGCTTGATTAAATATATTAATTACATGACAATATATATATAAATAAATGACACATATATAGTGTATATGTATATAAAGAATATTTAGTATTAATGCACAAATAAAGAAGAGAATTATAATGAGAGACGAAAAGTTAATAGAAATCCACTCTTAGCCGATATATACATCTTTTAAAAATGATTTGTTATTAAAGTATATGACAGAATAATTTATTTATGCTAATAAATATAAATTAAAAATTAAATGAAATGTTATTTGTTTTGTAAAAGATATTCCATTGTTACATTTTTCTTTTCGTAGCAAAAATAAATTTGGTCTAGTAAAAAAATTAATTAGTTTTATTATCATATTTCAATTACGATTTTATTATTTAATTTTACGAATAGATAATGTGCATATTGTTGCTCAACCGAAATCGCGAGAAAATGGTGATCTCCATCAAAAAATAAATGCAAACTTTTTAATAATGTAATAATTTTTTTACGTAAGTGTTTGTTTTTATAGTATAACCTGTTGAATTTTATTAATTATTAATTCAGCATGTTATGGTATAAAAAATATATTTTAATATAAAAATTAATGTAATATTAATTGTTTGCATTTGCAATAAATATGGATAGAACAGGATAGGTTGCAATGATACGTAGGAAGAAAAAAGATAGATGGATAAATAGATAGATAGATAGATAGATAGATAGATATAGAGATAGATATAGATGGATAAATAGATAGACAGATAGATAAATAGATAGATGGATAGGTAGATATAGAAAAATAGATAGATAGATAGTTAGATAGTATAGGAAAAAAGATAAATAGAAATATAATAATAATAATTATTATTATTATTATTAATGTTTTCAGTAAAGAGAACATTCGCTTAAACGTAAGTCTTACTTAGGTCCAGTTTCACGACTTATATTATATTAACCGGAATATATTATACGACTTATATTATATTAACCGGAATATATTATATGATTTATATTATTTTAACCGGAATATAATTCGTTAATATTAGAAGTACCGAGCGGTTATTTCTGATCGTTTCTATTTTTTAGATTAATATCCTGTTTCTTAAAGATTACAGGATTTTTGTTTTGAGGGTTTGTTTAATGTGATGTTTGTAAAGAATGTATATAAATTTCTACATATAAGATTAAAAATATGAAAAATATTGCAGTGAAAGCAAGGAGGTTCCACGGTGCGCACCATATCTCAATAACTATTTGACTAACCGACTTGCAACTTGGCAGCATTATAAAATAGACTTCTCTTTACCGTTTTAACTACAATTAACCAAATTCATTAATAATTAATATTTTTTATTAAACTTTACCGAGAGGCCAGAACGATTTTTGTTCTAAATGCTACCATTTTATTATTTGTGTTCCGATTGTAGTTCAGACGATAGCTATACTTATAGAAAATAAAAAGCTACTTTAAATAATTGTGAAAAATTAAATCACACACATTTAGAAATTCCTTGGAATCGTCTATTTGCAACCTCTTTGCTTTTACTGCAATATTTTATATATTTTTAACCTTACATACTTGTAGAAAAATGTATATATATTCTTCAAACATCATTAAGCAAACTCTCAAAACCCGTAATCTTTTAATCATGTGAGCTTTTTCGCTTCCGCAAAAAAAATTAACGAAATATACGTATTTTTTGTCGGGTTCAATAAGACAACTCTTTAAAAGCCTATTTCAACAAAATTACATAATCGCATCATTGATATGCACAAGGAAATCAACCAATCATAATCCGTACAAGCGTGCCTTTTATATTAGACATATTTTACATTTAATTAATCTGTTTCCTTCTCTAGAACAAATAATCATCAAAGGTCAAGATAACGACAAAATTATTTTGACTTAATTTTGACATCATCTTCACTTTTATATAATTATTTGTTCTACTTCAGTTATGCATATGAACAATATGACTATGCAAGTTTGTCTCAATAAGTTTTAAACTCCGGTTAAAATAAATTATGAAACTAAATCTTAGCGTTTTTCAATCGGCATCTTTCACGATGTTATAAATTATAACATTATAAATATTATCTATATAACCAATTGTAACCTACACAATGGAACGCTCTTTGATTGAACCGATTGAAATTGCTCATATCAATTATTAATGATATATGGCCTTTCATTACATTCTTTAAGTATCATTACATTCTCTAAGTTTCAATTGTTAATTGAACAATTCCTTTCACAAGTCAAAGATTAACATGCTGATTTGAAACATAATGCAAAAAGCTCGAAAATAAATGCGAAGCAGAGAAGAGATTAACAATGAATGATTATTATTTAATATGCAACTTACATTAACATGGAATGTCTAATTGACTTAATGTCTCGAAGCTACTGAATATGAATTTCTGCTTAAATCTTTTCCTTTCTGTAGGAGGTTTTTGGCTGTTTCGGTTACTTCCCTCTACATTTATATTGATGAGTTGAAACATTTGTTTCTACGAGATGTTTAAAATTCGGTTGACTTTACGAGTATTGAATACTCATATTCAGTAGTCACTCATATTCCATTAACATGGAATGTCTAATTGACTTAATGTCTCGAAGCTACTGAATATGAGTGTTCAATACTCGTAAAGTCAACCGAATTTTAAACATCTCGTAGAAACAAATGCTTCAACTCATGAAAAGAGAGGAAGAGCGAGCAAGTGCGCGAGAGAGAGAAAGAACGAGCGAGAGAGAGAGAGAGAAAGAGCGAGGTATAGGAGTAGCGAGAAAAATCTCGCGGCTCACGCAGTCAATAAGCTAGACGAGCGGGAAAGAAACAAATAATATGTCGACGCTCGTCTAGTCTCCCATGTGCTACCTCGCGTGCGTGAAAAATAATTCCTCGCTTCGCACGTTCCCTTGTCACGAGACGCTACCGCGTCTTTTGATGTCTCTGGAGCATGAAAGATGAAAGAAAAGCGGAGAGATGTTCGCTTAGCGATAAGATCGCCGCTACCTCGCCTCGTGTTTACTGCCGCGCGCCGCTCAGTAGTGAGACAAAGACGGAACGATTGTCTGTCGTCTGTCTTTTTCTAATCTACTATCCATTGCATGGAAGTAGTACGGACACGAACCTAGGCGCATTTTACTTTTATCACCGCGAAAGTGCGCCTAGCGGACGTAGTTTAGGCGCATTTTGGTCAGATGGCGTATCTAAAATGCGCCTAGCCGTATCCCCCGAAATACGGCCGATGGCCGCTCTCATTCTTCTCTCTGATCGTGCCATAACGTAATTGAACTTAACCTAACATACGTGTATTATTCACTGCATTTATACAAGCTGATACGTCCGAAATCTCGAGCGAATGGAGATTTGTATTCAAATATTGTTGAAAATATTGTGGGTCTGCAGAACAGCATAAAATTATCGATATTATATAGTAAACATTCAAATATTTCACATTCATATTTAACGCATTTAATTACATACCAGTAGATAATAGTTGATGCACATCAAATGCCTCGGCTATAACATATTCTACACTGTCTTTTAAATAACTTTTATTACATGTCTCAAAATAATTATTTACGCTTTCTTTGCATATATAGGTCTGTTCTTTTCATCTGTACTAGTTCATGCACTAGGACTGATGTAGTACAGGCGCGGGCAACATGAGTGCAAGAGTACTATTACAGTGAAAAGAACGCAATGGTGCAGTATTCAATAGTATTCAATATGGCGCACAACAGACACAATAGGCCTGTTATACAATATGTTAGTTGAACTAGAACTTGAGTCTTCAGATGAAGATTTTGATTTAATACCACCATTACCACCACCACTTCTGGTTGAAGATAATAATGGTAATATATTTTATAACAAATATGTTATGAACGAAATAAAAATTAAAAAATATAACTTAACCTAATTTAATATATCAATTTATGTTTTATATTTAGATCATAATGAATTATAAATATTTCATCCAGTTTTTGGAATGATTCAACGAATAGAACACGTAAAAATAAATAATTATGTGGAAAACATAGTCTAAAATTATAACAACATCGATTTCATTATGCACTTTCATTTATCAAGAGAAGTAGCATACGATTTAATAAACCAATTCCGTGTATCTGAGATATTTACTTCCTTACAAGGTATGTGTATATTAAAAAATTAAATTTTTATTTATTAATCCCATATTTATTTTATAAAAAAGATAACTATTACAACACATACATCTCTTTTACAGAAGGAGGACGTTTAAAAGTTACTGCAGAAAAACAAATTTTATGTTACCTGTGGTTTTTAGGCCATGAAAGTGCTGGTTATCGTGATGTGGCTGACAGATTTGGAATAACTATTAGTGTTTTGCATAAAGTTATTACCAGAGTAACTGATTTTATTATGTATTTAGCACCCAATATTATTCGATATCCAACTGCGGATGAAAAAAAAGAAACAGCTTCTCATTATCGCAATGAGAAAAAGTTCCCTGGTGTAATTGGTATTTAATATTTCACTATTTCAATCGAAATTAAATTTTGTTGATATTTTTATTGATTCTATTTAATGTATTTATATTATCTTTGTTAGCTATAATATCCTTTTTAGGTGCCATAGACGGATCCCACATTAGAATTGACAAACCTACAGAAGATCCCAACTCATATATTAATCGGAAACAATACTTTTCATTGCATATCCAAGGCCAACCACAATATGAAATTTTTTGATGTATTTGTTGGATATCCTGGCTCCGTCCATGACGCGAGAGTATTTAAAAATTCACCAGTTCGTAATGATCTTCATGAACTTTGCAGAGGTTATTTTAAATTTAATTAAATAAAACATGATAAAAATTATAAGAATTAATAATTTGCACCTGAGTTATCAATCTGAAATGTTATTCAAATATTATTAATCTTTCTTTTTTAGATAATTACTATTTATTAGGAGACAGTGCGTACCCTTGCTTAAAACAACTAATTGTCCCATTTAGGGATAATGGGCACTTGACACGTGCACAAAGAAATTTCAATCAAAAATTAAGTTCTTGTCGCGTAATTATAGAGAATGCTTTTGGTTGTCTAAAACAACGTTTACGGTTTAGGCAGTTATATCACTTCAAGTTACGTGATATAGTAAGAATAGTTCACGTTATACATGCTTGTTATGTACTTCATAATATGGCGAACGCAGGAGAAATAAAATATTTTGAAGCTTCCATGGAGGATGAATATCCAGATATTGAAGTACAAGATTTACACATTGAACAACGCATTGATGAAGTACTAAGAGAAAATGAAACCAGAATATATATTCGCAATGAAATATGTCGCCAATTAAATGTTCAATAAATACAATTATATATGCATACATAAATACAACTATACAAATATACATAATAAATAATGCATTATTATATGTCAAATATTTTGTAATTTATGTTTATATTTTGCATATTTTTACTTATAAATTATAAGATAAAGTAAGTATATAAATTATAAGTAAAGTAAAATTAAAACAAACGAAACGTAAAAGTTATGTAATAAACAAAACATATGATAAATAAACGAAACAAAACCAATATATATATTTCTTCCTTTTTTCTTTGGTTTCTTCATTTTCTTAGTTTTTATTTTTGTTTCCAATGAAATCTTTTAAAAGAATATTTTTTTCTTCCTTCAATTTGCAACTTCTAATTGTTCTTGTACTTTTTTTAAGGATTCCTCGTAATTCTCAGTTGTTTATATTCTGTAAGTATGTGTCTTTGTATTTCTAATTTACTTTCTTTTTCTTGTATAGTAATATTTATAAATTTTTCAATACTTTCTTGACACTTTTCTGCTGTTTGTGACATATTTCTGTTTCTTTTTCTTTGTGTTTGTTCTTGTAATATCTGTAAAAAAAATATATATATGCATATGATATGTTTGAAATTAGATAAAATTATATCTTTTTATATTAATGGGATATATTGTGTTATACTTCGTTGGAAATATTTCTTGTAATAATGTCCCTTGTCGTTCTTACTTCTCTTGCATTATTATTTTCTTCTTGCATATTATAAAAGAGTGTACTTTCATCAGTTGTATTTTCATCATTAAAATCAGAAATAGATCTACAATAATGTAAAATATAGATTTCTGTTCATTAAATGTTAGTAACAGATTAATTATTATATATTAACATATATATATATATATATATGTTTTTAAGTATGAAAATAAAATATTAAATGTCGAACCTACAGAGATGTACTTGCTCTCACATCTTCTCGTAAAATTAAACCTTCTCTACCAGAGACGGCCAAAGGTTCAATATTGTGCCTAGAGCCTAAAAGTTCCGTTAATTCCCTATAACAGAAAATAATGTTATTTTACATACATTAATTCTTCACAAATCTTAAAATTAATAAAGATTACAATTTACGTTTGATATAAACACGTTGTACATCCTTTGCCTGTCTTTTTGTTATTTGCAATCATATTTTTAAATGATCTTTCAAGGGATTTATATTTGTTTTCTATTTGAGTGGTTGTAATAGTGTATCCTTTTGATTGCATGATTTCACGTATTTTTTCCCAATAATATTTTTCTCGTTTTTATTTTTCGGTTTGTCAAAAGTTCTATTTTTTCTTTGTATATATGTAATAATAATTTGGTACTTTCATCGGACCAAAGAAAACTATTATCTGTCCTATGTCCTTCAATAATCATATTATTTTCATGTTGTATTACTGGTGGAAAAGATATTGTATTTTCATCATTTCTTATTACTGGAGAAGATATTGTATCTTCATTATTTCTTAATGAAATATCTATAGTTTCACGTAATTTTACATATACTGATGTATTGTCAACAATACATTCCACTGTATCGTAAGTAAAATCTATTTCTTTATATAGCATTTGAAATTGCAGACCTTAAAATATGAATATCAACAAACATAATTATTAATATTATGTATATATACAAATATATTAAAATAATTGAAATATCATGTATCCAAATTTTTAAATTTATTTATATTTAGATTATTTGATTTTCAAACCTTCACAAGTACATGTGACGTATCCTTGATCATTTATTAAAATATTTCCCATTGCATCTTTTAATATAATACCAAATTTTTCTTTTTCCATTTTTAGGCTTGTTTTTGTTGATCCTTTTCTCAGTTTTCTCAATTTTATTATTTGTTCCCTGAGAAAGAAATTATATATATATATATATATATCAACAATATTTTATATATTTAAATATATATGATATATATATTGTTGACTAATTCAATATTTTTATATTATTCAAAATCTATACAGACACATATGTCTGTATTTTTATTTATTATCTAAATTGCTCATTAAATTAGCAATTTTTAATAATTTATAAGTAAGTTATCTATAAGTAAGTTATTTATAAGTAAATAATCTTAGTAAGTTATCTATAAGTAGGTTATTTATAAGTAAATAATCTTTACCTTTAGGTTATGGACTTCTGCAGGCTTATTCTGAAACTTTTTAACGCATGCGTTATATGGCTCGTAACGCATGTTTTACGATTTCGTATTCTGTAAATGCATCTTAACGTATGGCGTCGTCAATATGCGTTACATTAACGTTAAGTTTGCGTTATATTATTTTTCACTATAAATCCGTATTCTGTAAACCACTTTAACGCAATTTGTAACGCATTTTCTTGCGTTACGTAAAGTAATGCTAACGCTGGCTGCCGGAGAACGTTAATGTCATAACGCAATCTTGTAAGGTTAAGTTAATATTAATATTTTTTATTGTGAATGAAATGGCTTGTGGAATACTCATCAATATGCTAAATGATGTGGAAAAGGAAGAAAAGAGGGAAAATTCTCTAATAATGAAAGAGTTGAGAGATAGTATTAATCCATTTAATTTAACGGATGAACAATTTATAAGAGTTTTCCGCTTATTAAAAGAAGCAGTAATTTATATATGTGACTCACTTCAAAATATTTTACAACGTAAAGGAAGGAGAGGATTAATGCTGGGGACACACACTTTCCGTAACCGTAACTTTAAATGTAACGTAGGAGTCTGCAAAACACATAATGTTTCCGTAACGCAGCGTTGCCACGCAACCACGGCGGACCTTTGACTTCATTTAAGTAAAGTAAAATACCCGCAATATATAACCAATACTGCAGAAATACATTATAAAGGTAATATTGTTATTATATATTATCTTTGGGTATGTATAAATATATGCATTAAATACTCTATTACAAATCGACATAATTGGAATAATAAAGAAACACACATAAACTGATTAAATGAAATATTTCATCTTTCAGCAAAGGAAAGATTAAATAGAATACGTTGTTAATAGATGGAGGCAATAAAATTATTTAATATTTATTATTAGATGTATGAGTACATTGTACATAGAAGAAATTATGCTAAACGTTGGATTAATCGGAGATGGTGGGTTAGAAGTATCAACAAAAACCGTAACCAGCAAGGAGATTTTAATGCTCTATTTCAAGAGCTAAAAGATGACACGGAAATGTTTTTTCGGTATACTCGAATGAGTGTTGACGTTTTTTATTTATTGTTGAAATTAGTTGAACCATTTTTGAGGAAAGAAAATTGGAGAGCTTTATGCCCAGAACAACGATTGTCTCTGACTTTGAGGTAAATCATATGCATTCAATAACGTATATTTTTTAAAATTGCATTGATAATAGGTTCGTTTATGTTATTTGCACAGAATATACCAGAAGTGTGCATTATTTTGTAGAATAGATTTAGTGTATAAAGAGTATAAAAGTGTGTATAGTGTATTGTAGTGTATAAAAGAACTGAAACTAAAAATGTAACTTGAATGCTTTAGTTCGCTTTAGTTTGTACTTACAACTACCGCAAGCCAAATATGGAGCATGTATTATTTTTTTTAGCTGATTAATATATACGATACAAAGCACGATAAACTAAGTAATGTTTGTCATAATTACAGATTTCTGGCTACTGGTGACCAACTGCTTTCTATCGCTTTTGCATATAGAATCGGAGCATCAACAGCATCTTCGGTCATTAAGCATACTTGTACCATATTAAACAAAGTATTGATCCCATTATATCTGACCCCTCCAACGTCAGAAAAATGGAAAGAAATAGCCACAGGTTTTCTTAAACATTGGAATATTCCAAATTGTGTTGGATCGTTCGATGGAAAACACATAAACATCCAAGCTCAACCAAATTCTGGAAGTGTCTATTTCAACTATAAAAAAACTTTCAGCATTGTCCTAATGGCTGCTTGCGATTCCAATTATAAATTTACTCTTATTGACGTTGGTGCTAATGGCAGTATTAGCGATGGGAGCATATTTGCTTCATCCGAAATAGGCCAAGCAGTTAAAAATGAAACATTAAACATACCACGAGGACAAATACAACTTCCTGGTAGTAATCAATCAACGCCATATTTTTTATCGGTGATCAAGCTTTCCCACTAATGAAAAATTTTATGAGGCCCTACGCTGGACGGAAATTGGTAGAGAAAAAGCAATTATTTAATTATAGATTATCTCGTGGTAGAAGAACGATAGAGAACGCATTCGGAATACTTTCTGCACGTTGGAGAATTTTACGTCGAACAATTTGTTTAGATGTAAAAGCTGTTGACCAGATTGTAATTAGTACTATATGGCTTCATAATTTTTTAAAGACAGATGATGAAAAACATATGCCAGAAAAACGTATATACTGTCCATCACATTTCATCGATTCAGAATTAGAAGACGGTCTAGTAATTGAAGGAACTTGGAGGAATGAACAGATACAAACACAACGGTTATGACCTACTGGTGCACATCGAGCGAACACAAACGCAATGGAACTACGCGATATTTTATCAGATTACTTTGTAACCCCAGTTGGAGAGATTCCATGGCAATACGATTACATTAGAAGAGGAACAAATCGAGAATAAAAAAGAGATGATATATGTTTCTGTATAAAATATTTAATAATCATATATATTTTCATATATTATATGTAATATATATCATATTTAATTTTGTTAATCGAATCTCATATAACGTACATAAAAATTTCTAAAATTAAATAAAATATATTTATATATCTAAATATTTATTTTGTTGAACGAATCTGTAGAATACATAAAACACTTATGATGTAAATATAATTTGTGTAATTTGTTCCATTTTTTGTTTCTTTATCCATTTCAGGCAATTTTCTCAATTCACAAGAAATCCATTTTCCAAATAACTCTACATCGCTTGCATTTGATGTTGTATCTTGGGAATTTCTGAGATATGAACTTAATTCCGATGATACTTTCAAGAAATTTGCTTCAACAGCGACAGAGCGTTTTTTTCTTTGGGTCCATCCGGGCAAGAAATGATTCTTCTCTTCTTGTTGCATATTCTCTGCTACAATACAAGATCAAATTAGACTATAAAAAATATTATATCGCTTCCAGTATATTAAAAATAGATTACTTACATTTTCTTTTAGGTGTCGAAATGTTTGTAAAGATATCTCTGGATTTGTTGGCTTTTCACATTTAGAGGATTGAGGAGTCAGAATGGATTGTGGAGATGTCAAAGAAATAGTTAAATTGTGATCATCTCCGTCACTAGGTGATGGTGTTGAACTATATATTGTATGGAATGCAGAATTCTTCGGCAGTGGAGAATTTAGAAAAATTGGTGATTGTTGACGAGTAGATATTTGAGGTGGTGGGGTATTTCGGGAACTTGCAGGCGACACTGAAGAGAATGGCATGCTATCAGAATTTGATGGTGACTAGGAAGGTGATAATGATACTGATATTGAAGATTAAGGATTTTGAGTACTTGAAGTACAAGACGATACTGGGTGTGCTTTAATCACCGGTCGTTGTGTAGCGGACTGTAAGTTTGTATAGGTTCTAAAACATTGAAGAACAAAAACACTTTCGTGAATACTTGTTATATTTTTTAGCTACATTACTTACTTTCTTGACTGAACATGTTTCGAAAGAAACATCATATTTTGATACAAAGCCCATTCTTTTCTTCCTGTAATACTTCCACTACCACTCTTTGTTTCTGCATCCCGTAACTTTCGCTCTTTTGCAAATTTTTCCCTCAAGCGTAACCATCGCCTCTGACAATCTTCCACTTAAATAATTTTACGTATTTATTTTCGTAAATATATTTTAGTTGCGAATTTATATAATTACACATACCTGAACAATTTAGAACGGATGCTATTTCTTCCCATGAGCGTTCACGTACATTTTTATCTTTAAAATCTTTCAAGTTCTTTGCATAAAGATGAGGATAACCTCTCACGATGTCGATGAAAGTAGCATCGGCTTCAGTATTCAATTCGGTCGTATGTATCGAATTGAATACTAAATCCGATGTTACTTCCATCACACTTATATCTTGTATATCTTCGGAGTCTGTATACATTTTGTGGCAATACAAATGATCCATACACTTATCTCAGAATGCTTTCTTGATCGCGCCGGACTGTGACGTCAGACAACGTCAATCTGATTGGCTATCCGTAAGAAACATACCGTAGAATTCCAACATGCTGAAATTTTTCGACTACTACGTTATGGTTACGGTTACGGTTACTGCCGAATCGAGCAACGCGATTGGTCGAAATCTTACGGTTACGGTTACGGAAAGTGTGTGTCCCCAGCTTAAGTGTAGAAACATAGATAATTATGTAAATTCTAATATAACTTTAAAATACATAATAGACATGCGGACATTAAAGTTTTCCGCTATATTTAGATACAGTTCGGAACGCAATTGATGGTTCAACGAGAGAACTTATTTGCTGAAAAGTTTTCAAAACAAGTTCTCTTATTAGATTATCAACTGTGTTCCGAACTATATTGAAAACATAACGAACAACTTTATTGATGTCCATGACTGTAAACTGATTTTGTTCAAATTTGTATAATAAAAACTTATGTGTTACTAACTACTTACAGGTTTTAGCTGCACTGCGTTTTTTTACTATAGGTTCTTATCAAAAAGATATTGGTAATGATTATTTGATATCTATATCACAACCAGCAACTAACAGAGCAATAAAAGCAGTAGCGATGGGTATCACGCAATTGCTTGCCAACGAGTGGATCAAATTCCCAAACACGGAGGAAAAACGAGCAGCTTTAAAAGAAAAGTGACATCCTTTTACAATTATAAAAGACCGTTAAAAATTTACTCTGACTGTAAACAATTTATATTTTTCTTAAGAAAACAATGTAATAATATCAGGAAATTGAAATAATTTATATATGATTGCACTTAACTGTTGTGATTTTTTTTACAAATCTTTCTTTAAATAATATTAAATAAATTTGTCTATTCACTGAATTATAATTTTTTTCATAATTTTCTTATAATATTGTTTTGTACAATATATTTTTACAGATTTCAAAAGGAAAGGATTTTTAAAGGAGTAATAGGTTGCATAGATTGCACTTATGTCGCTATTGTGAGACCAAAACATCACGAGGAATCATATATGTATAAACCATAAAAGGTTTCCATTCAATTAATGTACAGGCAGTAAGTAGACTCACTACAAAAATATATAATATATAATATACTATACAAATTCAAAAAGAAACTTAATGCATACTTGTATTATTTATAATAAGATAGCGTCACACGATTTGGAAATCTTAAACGTCAATGCTAGATTTCTTGGAAGTGTCCATGACAGCTTTATATAGAGACATTGTACCATAAGGGACGAAATGCAACGATTATATGATTCTGGAGATCGAACAACGTGGCTTTTGGGTAAGTATCACGATTATTTTATATTTATTTACCTAACAATGTATATAAAAATGTTTATTTGATTATAGGCGATGCAGGTTACGGTTTGGAACCTTGGCTGATGACACCTATCACAGATGCACCAGAGCTACAAGATGCACAAGACAACGTTATACTAACATTATAAAAAAATAGCATTTTAATAATAAAGAAAACAATGTGAGGAAATAATACTTTAACTATGATAGAAATATATAATAAAACTTACTTTTCTCCAACCTTCTGTACCTTTTGATGGGCCGTCTAAGCTATTTAACTGTTTAGTTAATTGCTGCCATTGTAAGTCGTGAACTGGCTTTCCTCTTGCTCCTAATAATTTGCCTGTGGCAAACGCAGTATGGTTTTCCATATATGTAATAAGGAAATCTAATTGCTTGTTTGTTGTTTTAGGGGCTCTTTTCTTTTTCTGTGCAACTTCCATACTGTAAGAACATATTGCTCATTAGTTAAATCAGTTATGTATCTATTCTTTTCGTACATTGCGTAAAAACAAATTAATTATTCACTATAATTTATTTATTACAAATGTGTGCACATAGCTTAATATATGTTATATATATAGTAAGTAAAATATATACATAACCTTGAATGTTTTTCTTTAGTGTATGTGTACAAACAGCGCAAACAGCTTCTTCTTCTTCTTTCGTAATCGGATTTCTTCAATAATCCAGAACAAACAACTTTACTTAAGCCGATTGAAATATTTTAAATCTTTCGCTATGATTGGTATTGCTGCGCCCGTGTCTTTGGGGGACAGTTATCCCCACGTTCCTGGGAGTGGACTGCAAAGGAATCGAGTAGAGATTGTTTGACAGCTGTTGTTGTCAAGGAGATTGTTTAATAAATAAAAAAGGAAAGAAGAAGAGATGAGTGAGAGTCGCCCTGGTCTTGTCACGACGAACGGACGTATTAAAATAAAGCTTCTTTCGTTTTATTAATTCCGTGTTATTTTTCTTGCGCAAGGGCGCAACATTTTGGGGGCTCGTCTGGGATAAGATCGACGTCGTGCGGAAGCATTGACACGATTTTTTTATTATCCGAGTGAAAAGAAGTGTTGTGAGAAATGTTACATTCTCCGATGGCAACGCGGAGTCAAACAGCAGAAGCCCGTCAGGCGGTTGCGACCGGACAGGAAGCAGAGACAGAGGCTCCGACGTTGATAGCAGCGATGAGAGAGTTGCGTCAGCTACGTGAGGAGCGGGAACGAGAGCGACTGGAGCTCCAGGAGTTGCGACAAAATTGGAGGATGGAGCCGCAAGGACAAGGGGAAAATTGTCAAGGCCAGTGTCAAAAATGTCTTAATTTAAAACCCGATATTTACGACGGTACTGAGTCTTTTTATGAATATGTCTCTCAGTTTGAATTAGTTGCGCGAGCTAATAAATGGAGTGAGGAGGAAAAGGCTTTAGTTTTTGCGACAAATTTGAGAGGGAAGGCGCGTTCAGTTTTAGATGGGATAGAACAAAATTTAGATTATAATGAGTTAAAATCGAAGTTAGAATTACGTTTTGGAGAAAGTAATTCTTTTCAGCATTCTTATTCTCAATTTATTAATAGGAAAATTAAAATTAATGAAGATTTTGCGTCTTATGGGGGGGAATTAGAAAAATTAGTCAGGTTAGCTTATCCAGAGTGTAAAAATGAAGTTCGTGACAAAATAGCTTGTGCCCAATTCATTTTGGGATTATCACAAGGCCTAGTTAAATAAACATTACAGCTTGAGGGAATTGTTTCTTTAAAATCAACAATAGAGCGTGCGAAAATTATTCAAACGATTTCAGAAGAGGGAAATTTTTCAAGTAAACAATTTTATGAAAGAAAATTTAATTTAAATATTCAGAAAACGGGAAATTTTGTTCGAAGAAGGGAGATGGAATTTTCACGGAATGAACGAGGTAATTTACAAAATTGGCAAAAGAATTTTAATAATAAAAGGAAGAATTTTAATTTTAATAATAGGGAATGTTGGAATTGTGGAAGTAAAGAACATTTTAGAGCATAATGTCCTGTTTTTGTTAACAAACAATTAAACTAGGTTTTACCAAATGGGACGGGGGGTATTAGGCAAAAGAAAATGAAACCCCGGTAGAGAATAAATTTAGGTTAAGTAGAATTAGAGAAAATTTTTGTTATTATGGTAAAGTTGACGGAGAAATTTGTATTTTCAGGATTGATACGGGTTCTGATGTCGTAATTTGTGAGAAATTTGTAAAGCCTCCAAAAAGGAGGATTGAAGTAAAAAATTTTCTTTTGTATCCCACAGGGGAAAAGGTTCCTGTATATTTTAAAACTAATGTTACGATTAAAATAGGAAAATTTATATTAACAATGCCGGTTTTTATTGCTGATATTGAGGAATGCATTCTTGGGTTAGATTTTCTTTCAATGACAGGATTAGAAGAAAACTTACAATCTATTTTAGGAATAGTTCAAGAGGAAATTTTATGTTCTCGTATTAGGGAAAAAGTGCAAGTTCCTAACTTTTTGAAAGAGTTATTTGATAGAGATTCAGAAAATTTAGATCTTGAACAAAAAAGAGGAATTTGCTAAGCTTTTAACTGAATTTCAGGATGTATTTTCGGAAGAAATTATTGCAGGAGGTTCTAATTTATTGGAGCATAAGATTGAATTGACAGATTCTCGTCCAATAAAGCAGGTTCCTCGTCAAATCCTTTTTCATTTTCGTTCTGAGATAAATGGGATTATTAAGGAAATGCTTGAGAAAGGAGTAATTGAGGAGTCTCAGAGTCCGTGGGCTTCTCCAGTTGTTTTAGTTAAAAAAAAAGAAGGGACGTTGCGTTTTTGTGTAGACTATAGGAAATTGAATTCTGTAACATTAAAAGATTCTTATCCGATTCCTCGAATTGATGACATTTTAGATCAGCTGTCAGGGAATGTTTGGTTTTCGACTTTAGATTTAAAAAGTGGATATTGGCAGGTGAAAATTCGTCCGGAAGATAAAAAAACGGCGTTTTCTGTAGGAGGAGGACTTTGGCAGTTTACTGTTATGCCGTTTGGGTTATGTAATGCGCCAGCGACTTTTGAGCGTTTAATGGAGCGAGTTCTTCGGGAATTATTGTCGAAAATTTGTATGGTTTATTTGGACGATGTGATTATTTTTAGTAAAACATTTGAGGGAATGATTAAAAATTTGAGAATTGTACTTTCACGTTTTAGGTTAGCTAAATTAAGTATAAATCCAAAGAAGTGTAGTCTTTTAGGCAGATCTGTGAAATATTTAGGTCATATAATTTCTGAGAGAGGTGTTACCACAGATCCTGAGAAAATTATTGCAGTAAAGGAGTGGCCGGTTCCTCAAACAAGAAAACAACTTAGAAGTTTTTTAGGATTTAGTTCATATTATCGGAGATTTGTTAAAAATTTTTCTCTAATTGCCAAGCCCTTTTATACTTTGACGGAAAATAATTCCAAATTTATAATTTATGGACAAATCAATGTCAGGAATCTTTTGAGAAGTTAAAAGAAAATTTAATTTCTTCTCCGATATTAGCTTTTCCCAAAGAGCAAGGTAAATTTATTTTAGACACTGACGCTTCAAATCATGGTATCGGAGCAGTTTTATCTCAAATTCAAGGAAATTCTGAGAAGGTGATAGCTTATTATAGTAGAGTTTTAAGTAAATCAGAAAGGAATTATTGTGTGACACGAAGAGAATTGCTCGCAGTAATAGATTCGATTAAATCGTTTCATCATTATTTATATGGAAGGAATTTCATTGTTCGTTCGGATCATATTCCGCTAAG